TTCTCTGTAGTATACTTTAATTGTGTACATAATTTCATTTGGGACTTTTCTAAAGATTAAGGTACAACTTGAACTCAATATTCTCCCAAAGGCAGGGTCCAGTTCTGCCAAGTTAGAGAAACAAATACTATCCTACCCTTACTGTACCTTCTTTGTCCTGTGTAATATACTTCTGTGGCATACAAAATTAACGAATATTTGTACTACTCAAAGTCCTGTCCAAATGAATGGCACAAGGGTCCTATTCATTTGACTAGGACTTCGTGTATTGCAAAACCACTGCTCGAGCTAGTCACAGAACAATGCTCCAGTCATATAAGACATGGCAGCAATTATTATATTCTTACTAGGGCACATCTTCTTATGCAGCAAAATACAATATTATTACAAATTATCCTTATTATGCAAAGTCCTATTAAACAAAAACTCGCACACCTCATTCCCACTGATGGGATTTTGTATGTTAAAGATAACATACAGTAGGCTTATAAATATTGCATAGAAAGAAATTCCCTCTTCTGAACAAACGTAATTCTTTTGAAATGTATTTTCAAAACATTTCCTCTCATGGCTTCTTAAAAAAAAAAAAAACGCCAAGCATTAAGCATAAGCAAACAAACCAAAGAAACAAATGACTGGGGTGAAAATGCAGTTTTTGCTATGTACCTTAAAAATATCTTATGTTGAGAATATACAAACAAATTTCCAGGGTGACATCCTGCAGAACAAGTTTGTTCGATTCATTTTAAAATATGCTATGACTATGCTGACATGACTATGCTGAAAACACAAGATGAGGTGCTTTTACACCTGCAAGAGCTACTGCTGATAATAATATAAAATTGATCTGGTAGAATAAATGAATGTAAGGTTTATTCACATGAGATGAGATGAGATTTCAGGAAATGGTTTCATAACAGTAAACAGTTACTTAATTGCTAACAAATGAACTTCTGCCACGTTGGTTAAATGGCTTCATTCTACTGACCTCGGTGAGAGAAGAATCATTCCAAAAATGTTAGTAAAATGGTAACAGATCATTTTCATTATCAGTATCATTCAAAATTCTTATCTTAGAATACATTTCCCAATAAAGAGGGCATTGTTATAAAAATCATTTTATGAAACAAAAAAAATTGTAAACACTTTATTTTTTAGGAAGCATGGTGATGAAACTAACACCTAGAATGTCAATTTTCAACAACTGTTTAACATCATTCTTGCAGTAAAATTCCCATCTGGGCTGGCAACTTGTGTGCCAAGTTTCAAACAAATGTGGTTTGAAATTGCCAGTATATTAGACTCTGAAATTCAAGTGAGAAGCTAATAAAAAGAGATGGGTACAGACAATCATATTCTCTTAAAAATACCTATGGCTCTGGGTGTTGTATTAATCTGTTAACAAAATCCTCTAATTATTTGTAACTTACTTATAGTACAGTATTAGAATATAATGCCATCGAATTGTTAGAAAACAAGCTAACTGGATATAGCTGGTAAGAAAAAAAAAACAGTTGTGCTGTAAAGAATGTAAAAATGGTGCTGCAGAAAAAAACCTTGTTATTTAGAATCCCATTAGTTTCCAAAAACACCTATTATAAGTTTTGTTGATCAATACTCTCATGTAAGCTCTAAATAATGTATGATTCCAGTGGAGAAAAACGCAGCAAATCAAATATGGAGGGAGAATGTTTCAAATTATGAAGAGTAGTATGACTGCTAATCCATAAATCAGAAATCAGAAAGATTGTTGTAATGTGGGAGGGCTCTATTTAATAAAGGTCATTATAACTCCTGGCTCTAGAGCTATAAGATCTAATATCCTCTCTGGTAGCTCTATGATATGCCCATGCATTACTGTTCTTGTTGACAGTCTGTTGCCTTGGAAATATTTCATTATTTCAGTTTTTCCATTTGTAGACCCTTGGCCTTGTGATATGAAGGCCACCCTATTTCATATTTTCGATTATCATTTAAGCAATCTTCTGGAGCTATTTATATAAAAGCAAGTGTTAGACAATGCATATCATCATTTATCACAGCTATGTTTAAGCTCATGCTCTAGAAAAAGTGCCAAAATAAAGGTTTTTTTCTCTTTCGCTTTAAACCAATAGCAGTTTAATATTATGATATGCTATACAAATCAATGCTGGCATATCATATGCATGACACTTCTGTCTATTTCAGTTTCTTGGGTGTATATCCACACAGTTGAAAAAACTAAACTGTGCTGTAACTGTAAAATTTGCTAACACTCACGGTTTAAAAGAAAATCAAACAAATGTAATTGAGTAACTTTTCATGTATCCTTTTAAGAACCTAAACAGATAAAAGAAGTTTCAAAACTATTCAAGTGCCTGGTTACTTCAGAGCCTACTATTTTTCACATTTGTTTTGTAAGCGCATTTTTTGCTTGAAAAAATGCAACACCATCTACCTAAATGCCTGCATAGTGAATATTAAAAAAACAATGTACACAAAGTTAATTTAGAGGATTCTTAATCTTGATAACTATTTTACTGAAGTAATAGCTAAGAGACAGCAAAATCCCTTCAGTAAGTGATGAGCTGCTGTATTTCCAATATCTTGGTTCACACAGATGAAAGGTTGTGTACGAAGACTGTTAAAATAGTTACACACAAGACTTCATGAGCACATTACACAACTTTTAATAAAATGTACATCAGTATCTGTTTATTGAAGCATTGATCCATTTTCTCCAAAACTTTTAAGGAATAAACAGACTACTATTATTTTTGCTACAAAAAGTGTCATCAACTTCTACATGCAATACTTATTCCTAAACTATCCAGAGCACTGGACAGAGTGATAACGAAGTGAAACCTAAGGGCAAAAAACAACTTCTTGGACACTAGGCCAAGTTTGTGGCTATTAGCGTTCTAGGAATTTAGACCACCTTTTTCCCCTGAAATGATTACACCTCCCACTCCCTACAGGGAAAAACTACTCCGATCCAACCTTTAAAATGACAGCATCAGAGCTGAACAAGAAGATGCTATTAAAGGGCATTAAATTAAATACAGTATATCCTCCTACAACTTCAATCAGAATTTCAGACCAAGTGTTATTTAGTTCAGCTCTCAAGTGGAGCAGAATAACAAATCGTGCACTTTGATTTACCTTCTCCGAATGCCAAATGGAGACAGGTGATAAAGAAAGCACTCATGCACAGGCTATGAAGTTTCCCCTAGAAATTAATTCTATCTTCAAGATTCCTATCTCAGAGAAATTCCCAAAATGGCACACAAATATGCTTCTGCTGGAGAGATTACTGAAGCTATCCTGGCAAATACACTTAGCACTAATATAGTAACATTCTCAGAAAGAAGGAAGCAGAATTGTTTGTTGCGGGGGGGACAGGACTTATTCATATGAATTGTTTTTCCAACAAAGAACTCTGCAGGAGAAAAACCTGCTGCTTTAAGTGTTATTAACACAGTACAAACACCTTTGCAGCCACTGGAATGAAGATTTTTTTTTTTAATGTTTATAGTTGAAAATGAAAATCTGTAGTTAAGTCGTTGACATCTAAGGATGCAGTGTTTTCCCATTACGTGTATCTCCTAATTTTGCTATATATCCATAAAGCCTTGTCGAAGTGCAACAGTTAACACTAATGGATCTAAGACAAGCACACTAACACTTCAGTGGTGAATATGAGATGTATGGGTTTTTTAATACCGCGCAGCTTGCTTTTAGGAAAAATGGCACAGCTACTTAGACAAAATCTGTGGGGTTTGGAAGTTGTACTTGAAATGCTGATCATTCTAAAACATGCAAGTATGAAATTAAGGCTAAAGTACTTTTGTTTAAATATTTTGCAGACTTATTTGTGCTGTGAAATATAAACCGAGTAACACATGATCCAGCTACTTTTAAAGGCTATCTAAATGTTAATTTCCATTTTCCCAACTAGCCAGGAACCTTACTCACCCCTCACACTCAAGTTCACTTGTAACGCTAAAGGGGGCGGGAAAGAAAGAGCCCACCCCAAACCCTCTGGCTGCTCTTCTTCTGGGCATATATCTCGTAGCAGTGCAGCAACGGAGCTTTGAATACTTTTGTAAGAATCACAAAGTAACATCACATGAACTTGTACTCTTGTCTCCTACCAGTCACTTCTAGAAAGATTCACTTTACTAGAACAAATCCGCTACGGGCAATTCGTGTCACCAGCAGAGCACATTAATCACAAGCACTCTCTCCCAACAAAAGTACATGGGGCAGGCGGCGGGCCGGGAACCGCGCGGGGGGGTAGGGCGATCACCCCCCGCGTCCCTCCCCGGACCCCGCGCACCGCCTCCCCGCCCGCCCGCGCACCGGCTCCGCTCTGCCCACCCCGGGGGGCGCGGGCACGGCGGTCGGCGCGGCGGGGCGGGCGGGGGCCGGCCCGGGCAGCCCCGCGGGCGCAGCTGGCGGCGCGCCCCCCCCCGCTCCGGCCTAGCCGCACTTGAACCGCACCGGCGGGGCCGGCCCCTCCGCCCGGAACGCCGGGCCTGGCGCGGTGCCCCAGGGCCGCCGAGCGGCGGGGCCGCCGGGGGGGCCTCCCGCCCCCGCGCACACACACACACACAATCACACACACACATACACACACACACACATACGCCCGCTCCACAACGCGCCCCGCCAAGCACCGGCTCCGGCAGCCGCGGCGGTGCGGCCACCGGAGCGGGGCCGCTGCTGCGCGGCTTGTTCTGACTGTGTGCCTGCGTGCGTGTGTGTGTGCGTGTGTGTGTGTGTTTGTGTGCGAGTGTGTGAGCGTGTGAGTGTGTGCGTGCGGCTGGCGGTGCGCACTAGGAGGAACTCACGGTGCCCGGCTGTGCGAGCAGCGGGTGCCGGCGGCAGGTCCCCCCACCCCGGCATGGCAGCCAGCCCCGGCCCCCGGCACCGGCGGCTCGGCCCGGCCCGGCGCTGCTGCGGCGGCTGCTGCTGCTGCTGCTGCTGCTGCTGCAGGTTCAATAAAGAGAAAGTGTTACCGTTCTCGCCTGGAAGGATCCTGCTGAAAGCTTGGCTTGGTGGGCGCCATCTTCCTGGGATTTTTTTTTTTTTTTTTCTCCTCTCTCCCTTACTTTTCCCCCTCCTGATGTTGGTGTGTGTTGTGTGTCTAGCAGCAGCAGCGGCGGCAGCAATGGCCCCGGTTAGCCAGACAGGCTAAGGAAAAGTACTGAGGCCAAAGCATCGCGGGCTCCCACTCCTCCGCGCAGTCCTGGTGCAGGTTGCTTGCTCGCTTGCTTGCTAGCGCTGCTGCTGCCGCTGCCGCCGTCCATAAGCCGAGGAGCGGAGGGAGCCGGGGCCCCGCCGGCCCCAGAGACATGCCCAGCGCAGGCAGCGGCGGCGGCCGGCGGCGGCGGCGGGAAGAGCGAGCCGCGGCGCAGCCCCGGCGGGCAGCCCGGCCGCTGGCATCGCCCGGCAGGTGCGGCACACGCACACACACACACTCACACACACACACGCACGCACACGCACTCTCTCGCACACTCGCACACACACCCCCGCGCCCGCGGGCCGGGCTACGCGGGGTGCCAGGCCATCGGGCTAGCGGGGCGGGGGCGGGGGAGGGAAGGAGGGGTGTCAGGGATCTCCAGGCTTGACCGCTGTGAAAGTATTTCTGGGCATTTTCCAGCTGCTTTCCCAGCTCCGCTCCCGCTCTGCGTGCAGGGGACACAGCCTCTGCTGCCGGCGCAACAACGCCACTCAGTTGCAGTTTCGCACACTTTCTTCCTCTGGAGTCTGGGCTCCAGCAGGGAAGAGGAGCAGAGGGAGGCAGGGACTCGCTCTTCAACTCCGCGGGCGCAGAAGCGCGGCGAGATCACGCCGGGCACGGGCAGCGTGTCACCCGTGGGCTTCCACGGTGGAGGACGGGCTTGGGTGGGAGCCGCGGGCCGGGGGATGCGGGGGCCCTGCGACCCACGGGGCCGTGCGCGGGTGTGCCCGGAGCCAGCCCGAACGGGCCGGGCCGGGGGAAACCCGCGCATCCCCCAACCACCTCCGAGAACGCGGCCGCACATCCTAAGAGTGGCCATGGGGTGCTAGAGAGATACGAAGGCGTAATGCTGGAAATGTGAACTTAGAGTGATGACCCGCTTTGTTGGCAAAGGGTGTAGCACTTCACGCGGTTTTATTGGAGATTATGAAACTAATCATGAAGTAGAGGAGCGGGGGAAAAAAACCCGCTACCTTAAAGCGTTCCTTCCAGGACACCGCGAGAACCCGAGCACTGCTAGCCCCTTATAGAAGAAATCACTCATTCGCTAAAAGCTTTTCATCTCCAAGGTAACTTTGTGGCTGTTCTGCCGCTCCCTTGGAAGCACAGCTGCCCGGGCCTGATCCTGCTCTCTGGGAAAATCCAGCGGGCTTCCTCGGGTACAGGGACAAGCCCCGAAGGTCGGCCGCACTTATTCACGCGAAATGTTTCCGCGACTACTCCAAAAGTTTTTCTGGGGGGAGGGGAGGAGGCTGGGGGCCAAGAGTGTGTGCGAGCCGCAGGGCAGAGCCAAGGGGAAGAAGTTAGCAAAACACCTGGAAGTTTGGCTGCGGGGCGCCCTCCGCGCACCGGGGGCCGAAGGATTTCTTCCCGCAGGAGGCAACCGGGCCGGCGTAACTTGGCGCGGGCGGCCCGGGTCTGGGGCGGGAGGGGCTGCCCGGGTCCGGGGGCACGACAGGAGGGGCGGCCCGGGCTGGGGACACGACAGGAGGGGCGGCCCGGGCTGGGGACACGGCCGCGCTCCGGGGGCACGGCCGCCCGCCGCACACGTGCGGCCCGCGGTGCGCTCCGGGCGGCGCGGAGCGAGGCGGACACCGCGGGCTGCAGGGGGGGCTGCCTGCAGAGCAGCAGATGCCGCTCCCGGCCGGCAGTCCTGTCTCCTCGCCTCCGAAATGGGGAGAAAAAAAAAAAAAAAAAAAAAAAAAGAAGTTAACAGGTGTCTCCTCGGCTGTGGCAGTAGAGTAAGGAGATGTCGTGTCTGCCGTATTTTAAGCGTTTTGAGAAAGCAGGGAGAAAAAAAAAAATCGTTCGACTTAAAGTACACTATTTCATTCATAATATACAGTGAAAATTTGGAAGACGTGCATAAATGTTTTCCCTTGTAGGTTAGTGTGCGAGACATCCAGACTGGTCTGGATTCCTGGTAGTAAAAGTACTTGAATATCTATTAAGTACTATTTGGATTAGAGGTGTTAGTAGTTTGTCAGAGAAGTATTGCTTTTACAACTTCTTCCTGATTACAGACTGATAGAACCAAACTATTAAACGCGAAGTACTAAAAAAATTGTATGCTGACTTGTCTACATAATTCTGTTTAACTTAAAGTCTCCAGAGGTCTCTTTCATTTGTCTAAAAGCCAATCTGACATTTCTGACCCTTGACTTCCCCACTTCACAGACTAAACTATTGTGATTGCTGCCTGTACTTCCTCGTTAAAGTGTCCGTCAGTTTCCATTGTAATTTAAATATTTTAAAAGTGACAAAAATAATACAGAAACCATAAAAAGAAAGAAACTTTAATCCATTCTTTATAACTCTCACATTCAAGTGTTTTTGGGGTTTTTTTTAGTATATGAAGAATAGGTGTGTTTATTTGAGCAAAACAAGACTCCTGCTTAGTTTCAAATGTTTTTTAGCTAAGAACCTCCTTAAGTATCATCAGAGCTTATTTCAGGAGTATCAGCTCCCTATTAACCCTCATTTGATAAAGCCCACAAAAGTTAGCATCAAACGTTTTCTATCACAGGCATCAAAACTATGGGAAGCAAAACAAAAGTTGCTGAACGACAGAGCAGGCAATGGTCAGTTATCTAAAATCTGGCTCCTAAACCAATTAACTTTGAAATATTATTCTGAAACTTTTTTTTTTTTAACATCATAGAGATGTTTGGTTTGGACATTTAAGATTATACAGCGTTTTTCTCCGAATTTAACTTAATGCAATAGTGGAAAGCAAGATACTCGGGACAGTATCCTTTTTATTGCATTTAGAGAAATGTAAACGTTTTGTTCCGATTTCAGATCTGTTGTCTACGTTTTTTTCAAGATTCGGCTTCGGGTATATAAAGCAAGCTAACAGATTCAAACTTCAGGTTTAGAAACATAAATAAATGTCAGGTAATTAATTAGGCTTCGTGTTAGTATCAGCATATATCAATGAATTGTTAGGGCAAATGGGGAACGTCTTTAAACTTCATTATGACTTACTGCCAACTTTCTACACTTTGCTTCCTAAAGGCACTCTCTGTGAATTTCCTGCATTTGCATTAGAATGCATTTAAGATGAAAAAAATAACAATGCTGAGTATACTTAGAGTTTCGGCTGTATTTCCCTGTAGTAACAGGTGACATGCTAAAACTGTTAAAACTACAATGTGGAATTGCAAGTGTGCAACCCCAAGTGAAAATTGTTCTCATTCTTGGTTGAAAGAAAATTATCAATCAGCATACCATGATCAATTATCCCCCTGGCTGCCACACACTGGGATTTGCACAAGGCATTGACATTGAGAAATTCCTCTTTAGAAAGGATGAGCGGACAGGATCCCAAACTTTGCAGCAGCCAAGCTAAGATGCTGGGGTCTCACTTTTTTTCTTTCTTTCTTTTTTTTTTTTTTCCTATTGTTGCTTTACAGCTCATCCAAGACAAAACTAGGAGATTGTGTTTACTTCTCAGTGCATTTTAAAAGATGCTGTATTATTAAAAAAAAAAAAAAAAAGAAAAAAAGAAAAAAACCACCACCCTCCCCTCCAACAAAGCTCTCCCTCCCCCCCCAACAAACAGAAAGGAGATTAAAAAAAAAAAAAAGGAAAGAAAAAAAAGGAAAACAAAGAAACACAAAAGCACAAAGAAAAAGCAAGTGAGGGAGCCTCAAGAAGAGCCGCACACCCCTCTCCCACTCGGTGCTCACCGTTGTTGGTAGGAGGTGATGCCCTGGACGTTTTGCGGGTTGCCGTTGGCCGCGGCGCCGGCTCGCCCCATGCCCGGCGCCGCCGGCACCCCCCCGGCCGCCCCGCCGGCCGCCGCCGCCGTCACCTGCACGCTGAAATCCGGGAAGATCCTGATCATCCCCGCGGCTCAGCACCCGGCGAGTGTCGGCGAAGAGGTGCAGCAGCAGCGACTCTCCCTCCGGCGGCTGCAGCAGCAGAGCCAGGCACACTGCAATCCCATTAGTGAGTGGCGGCCACTGTGAGTGAGGACCGGCGCTTTGATGTGAGCGGCTGGGCTGAGATTGAGGAGTTTGGGGGGGCTAGGGGTAAAGGGGGGGGGGTGAAATTTACCGAATTGCAAACATGCAGCGCGTGAAGGTTTGGGAAGCAAAGTGGAATATCAGAGCTACCCCCCTCCGAAAAAAAAAAAAAAAAAAAAGGTATGTCTAATACTACTGGAGCTGTAGATACAGGAGAAAAATCCAAGCTGAGGAGGGACGGGGAGGAGAGAGGGGGGCGCAATTACTTTAGCGGTGCAGTGAAAATGATGAGCAGCAAATGTTGCCTTTTTTCCCTCCTCCTTCTCGTCCCTCCACCCCCCACCCTCCACCCAAAATGCAAGTCTTAGAGGATTTCTCTGTCTCAATGAAGTAATAATAAAGGCGGCTGACCACAGTCTGGGCTAGCGCCAACTGTGCGGGGGGGTCGGAGGGGTGGGAAGGCGGGGGGGAAGGGGAGGAATATCCCTGCTCCCAGAGTCCTGAGGAGAAGAGGAAGAGTGGAGGATTGTTGCAGCACAAGTTCTCGCTCTTGGTAACTTGCTTTTTCTCTCCTAGAGGCACCCCGCAGCCCCCCTCCGTCTCTTTTCTTTCTCTCTATGAAGGGACGGTTTTCACAAGCGAGGAAATGCGCCGCTTTTGTGCAAAGGCAGAGTTTGTTCCTTATTCTAGGGAGCTGACTCTCCTCCCCTCCTAGTGTGCAGCAATGTTATTGCGAGTCAAACTTGTAAGGTGTGTGCTGTCTACGCACGCACTGATCCCTATTGCTGCTTCAACATATCAATTATAGCACGGAGCGCAGCGCAGAGCCCGCTCGCAGAGCTCCCCTCCGGGCGCGGCACGCACCGCACCGGCAGCGGGCGGAGGGGCCCGGTCTCCACCGCGCCTTTGTGCCTCCCGGGGCTGCGCGCAGACCCCCGCCTCGCTCGGCCGGCTCTGCCCTCATCCACCTCCGTCGAGTGCTTTTCCCTGGACGCGGCGCTGCGCGGCTCCACCAGCCCGCCGGGACCGCGCCCCTGCCCCGGCCGGGGCCGCCCGCCCCCGAGTCCGCCTGGCCGCGGCGC